ACATTTAAACTCACAATACAATATTTTCGCTAAATATTTTTTATGTTTTTGTATCCATTTTTATAGTAGTTAATAATTTATTAATATTTTGTATGGTTTCCTTTTTTGTTTTTTGCTTTCAAATATATATATATAAAGAACAAGGCTGATATTTATATTTATATATATACGAGTTTTGTTTCTGCTTTATGTAAGTTTTATAATAATATTTAGCTATATGTTTCTTTTTCATTTGCTTTTGAAAAATCAATTTGTTTTTTACAATATTAGCAAAAGATCTTTGTTCGATTTTTGAAAAGAAAGTCGGTTTGGTTTTGCGAAAATTTGAAATAAATGAGCCTCAAAATAGACAAATAGTTGCCATTTGTTGTAGTTTCAATATTATAATTAATATTAATCATTATGTTCGTATTATTTACTGATAAAAGTACACTCAACTCTGAGCTATGCAAATAAAAGTTGCATTTCCCGCTTGACATTCGGTTCATTTTTAATAATTTATCAATTTTCGCCTTCTTATATCGTTGAAAACTGCTGCGCATAATTTGTGGCTGCTTTTAATTATATATAGTGTAGTGTAGAGTTTAATCGGGCACGAGTTTGATATGTTTTGACTTGTGTTATCTCCATTTTCCGCTGACCGTTCTCTCCTCTCCTCTGCCCTGATATTTTCAATATTCAATATCAGTTACCTTTCCTACTTAACCTTCTATAGATATACTATACATATGTTTCAGCATAGTACTGTATGTATTACAAATTTACAGCGAATTTCTGCTCTGTCTGTAGCCAGTTGTGGTTGAGTATAATGCTTTTCTAGTTGGCTCTCCCTCGAATGACTCGGAATTGCAAGAGGGGGAGACTCATATATAGTATAATATATTGTATAGTTGGTTTAATTTTCTCGCAAAAATTTTCACTAATTTAAAATTCGTTTCTTCAAAGGTTTATCTTGTGTGTGTGTGTTGAATGGGTGGAATGAAACAATAAATAATTTGTTTAACGAACAAAATATAAAGTTTTATTATGCATAATTAATACCGTCAATTGAAAAGTTCTAAGTTAAGGCTACACAAATGATATAGTATATTTATATACGGGGTTTATAATAGAGGTATACGATACATATACATGTAAATATAAATTACTTAGAAATTAGTATTGAATTGTTCGTAATTTAGTTGTTTAGGCAAACATAAGGCAATCAATTGGGCGGGAACTTAAATTAAACAATGAATCGAGGACGCGACGAAAGCATTCTCGAGACGGAAATCATAGCAAACGCAATAAATACAATAGAGTAGAATATTTGTTGATAATAATGAACTATCATTATGGTTACTGTTACTGTCTTTCTATTACTGCTTCCACATATGTAGATATGTGGTTACTATGTAAGCATATAGCTAGCATTTATGTAAGTAGTTCCATAATCTATTACTAAGCTTCCATTCAGTTATGCTGTCGTCTCCCTTTCCCTTTTTGGTAACTGCTTTCTTGCCTTTTTACGCTTACAATGTTTAAAAATTTAAAAACCACATCAAAACATATCGGTTTTACTTTGTCTTAATAATGCTTCTTGTAAAAGTTCTTCTTCTCGTTTTGTTCTTTATCCGTTTGCTGATATGTATTTGTTATTTTCCTCCTTTGTAATTGGTATTAAGTTTTTTGTTTCCTTCAAAAATGTTTTACATATGTGTGTGTATATATATTCATATAATGTTCCCATAATTCATATTGTTTAGTTTAGTTTTTCTGTCATTCATACATTTTAGCTTTCTTTAGTTTATCGTCTACGAGCTAAGTTCTCCTCCGTCGATTCTCCCGATGTGGCTGAGACAATCTGATTGGAATCTAGTCCAATATTTGCTTGCTGCAGATCGGTATAATCTAGATGTATATAGCTATGAAATTTAGATTTAAGAATGTCTGGAAATCAAGCCTCGAAGTGGTTATGGGGGTGGGAATCGAACAACCTTGCCACCGCGCTGGTTTTCTTTCCTTGCCTTCTCTCTCAATGAAAATTGCACAAGATTTTTCCTAGGAACACACGCGCACACACACACACACACAGGCACAGGCACACTCCCACATACACCTGCGATTTATGCGTATGTTCATTGCTTTTGTTGCATATTCTGAGGCTCCTCAACCTTCTTGCTTAGAATCTAAAAATTAATTTCGAAAATATTTGTTTCATACTTTAGCTTCTATTAATGGTTTTTCTTGTTATTTAAGCTTATTCATAGTTGTAAATATTTTTGTTTTCCGTCATCGGGCTTCTTGTTTCTTTTTAAATTGTTTTGAAAGGCGCAATTTTATGATATGCATTAGTATAATATGTTTAATCAAACATTTTCCTTGCTTACTTACTAAAACTTTAACTAATTTTTAGTTGTTACTGTGGTAAGAGTGTTTGCATGTGTGTGTTGTGTGTGTGTGTGTGTGTAAAGATTGCAGACTTATAAGTAGACCTCTGTTCTTAACTTTTAATGATGCTTTCGAACCAACGCGATGCTGGCGAAGAGATGATATTTTCGGGCAAGAGGAAAGCAAGAAATGTAATTGGACGGAATATGCATTTTACATTCGACTAAAGTTAGACAGGAAATAAAATTAAGAAAACCGTGTAAATGGGGGCTGAAATTGTACCAATTAAATAGTGTTTATCGTATTTTCTCTTAACAATTGTCGTATTTCTTCTTTTTGTCAAATATGCCTTTGGTATGTCTAGTCACATCTACCCTAAACTAAGCTTTAAAAACATTTAAAATTAGTCGATTTACTCATGGGTCTATTCGGTTTTTTTGTTTAACAAATTGTGTGAAGCTGTTAACTTAAAGTGTTAAATTAGTAAGGACAACTTTGGTAAAATTTAAAGATTTCATCCGTATATATACTTAAATTGGTTTAAACGAGACTGAACGAACTCCTTCGAAAACACTAAAAAATTATTATGTAAAAAGCTTGCTTACAAATGGTCGTTTATAACTATATATAGTTGGTTAGCCTTGAAGCCTTACATGGTTTCTCTTTATTATTAATTGTAGTTGGTTTCTGCTGTTTTGTTGTTGCTTTTAGTTACAATTGAATTTGTATTTTGTTCTGGTTTTAGTTATACATACTCGGTTTTTGCCTCGCTACGTAAGATGATATGCAATTGATTTTATTTATTCGTCCTTGTTCGAGGTTACCTCTGCTACACTTCCTTCAGTCCCTTCAGTCCCTTCAGTCCCTCCTGCTCATTCTGCGCCCTCCCCCCACTAAATCGATCGTTGGTTTAGCAAGAAATGTGATTTGATTGTTCTAGCATTTCGAAAGTTAGTTAGGAATAGTTTCTCATTATTTAACCGGAGTCCTTTAGGTTGGGGGCCCTCTAGTAAAGTTCAAGTCTTTGTTAGGGGCATGCAGAAAATGCTCAACAAAATGGCGAAAGAAAACATATGCTTTTCTGGGCGGAAAGTTTAGAGTGTCCTGTGCCAGTTTCCGTTAAAGTTTCGGTTTCGTTTAACTTTACATCCTTGTTAAAGATCAGTTTGTTCGAGTCTTTGCTTCACTACAGCGCACCTGCAACGTTCCCCTCAAGTCGTCGATAGGTCCTATCGGGTAAGTTTCAAATTCACATTTAAATTTTGTTATTCTTACGTTTTAAACAAATAAATTTCGAAACCAGCTTTCAGTATTCCTCAATATAAATTTAAATTTATACGATGACGTCGACTACTCGTTGTTGTTCTTGTTCTGTAGTTTTCTTGTTGAGTAACATTTTGAAAATTCCCTTACTAGTTATACAATTATTACATTAATGCGTATATTTAAATTGTTTTGGTTTTGTTTCGTAATATTTTTATAATTCTAGAAAGAGAGCTATTTAAAGGGCACATTCGGTTAAGCTATAATTATATATTTTCCTCTTGCTTTTACTTAATTTTCGTAATATTCTGTATATATGTTATTCCCTTAAGCTGTTTGATACCATGAAACGAAAATATTCAGAAAAATCATGTCGAATTTGTGTGTATCAATTCCATTTGTTGTAAGTCGGGTTCAATTGGGAAAGGTAAGGATAAACCAAAAGGACGAACAAAAACGTATAAGCAAAATCATCAAAGACTCCTAAATAATAACCTTCGAATTCTCAACCAGCTTTCTACACATATATATATGTATATATAGAGTTAATGGGCATATGTGTATTCGTTTAAGGGGACATATCGGCTGTATTGCATTTAACTTAGTTAAGTAGTTCGCTCAGCTTCCGATCTATCGTTAATTGTATATTTTACTACAAGTTTTCCCGTTCTTCTCATATTTTTGGTTTTCACTACAATCGTTTTTGTTGCCTGTCGAAAAATTTCACTAAACTGGGTTACGGGATCTGTTTCCTTCATTTTTGTTTTCTGTCACATATAAATTAACTTTCTTTTTTCATTTTTTCCATTTTGTTTTGTTTTTTTTTTTGCTTTTTTCATTGGTTTTTTTTTATGTCTATAACTAAAGGTTTTCCTCCTCGCATGAATCCGTTGCATGCGGAGCGTCTTAGCCCTCAAGTTCAAACTCAAATGTGTTGCCATCAGGCTGCTATGTGACTGACCGCCGGCAGCACGTACGAGTAGATGTGATGCGGCTGCATCGCCTGCGCCTGCTGCTGCTGTTGCTGCTGCTGATGGAGCTGGTGGTGCGGCTGCTGCTGCTGATGGTGGTAGTGGTGGCTCAGCGTGCCGCCGGGTCAGGTCGCTGTCGGCGTCATCAAAAACTGTTGCTGCTGATGGTGCTGATGATGATGGTGATGATGGTGATGGCTCAGGTGCTGCTGCTGTGCCTGCTGCTGTTGCTGCTGCTGTTGCTGGTGGTGGTGCGCTGTCTGGTGGCTGTGATGGTAGTGCTGCGCCGCTGCATGATGGTGCTGCTGCTGCGATTGCTGCTGCTGCTGCTGCGTCTGGTGGTGCACTTGCGTCTGCTGTTGCTGCATCTCGCGCTCTAGCTTCTTAGTGAGCAAATCATGCCTTGATTCCATACCCGCTCCTCTGAAAATAATTCACAGATCGAAGGGGATAGTTAGTGTGTGTCAGTGGGGCTAAATGGTTGCTTGGTGGCTAGGCATGCCGGCTACTATGGTGACTTTTTGTGATTCTAGGCATGCGTGGATATAGAAAAAAATTTTATGATGATTTGCCAAAGATTTTCATACTTTTATAAATAAAAATATTTCTTTTAGATTCCTAAGAGAAGATTTAAGATGTATAAAAGCCTCTACCTTTGTTAGTTCAATTATTAATATGTAGTTTAATATAATTTTTGTTTTTTAATATTTTGTAGGGTAAAAGCCATTCTATTAACCAGATTTCCCGCTGTGTTTTCCATAAAATTGACTGGAGCTTAGTCGTGCTTTACCCCTCTATATGTAAATCGATTTACAAAAGCAAGCCAACAACTTGCGATAAATTAAAGAAAAGTTCATGCCTCGAAAAAAAATACTTGAAAGCTTGAAAGTTAAACGTTGTTGTGGCAGTGGTTAAGTCGGTGGGCCAGCCATGTGGGTTATGTGTGTATGGCCATATGGGTGTGGCATGCTGCGCTTAATTTTTTGCATTTTTTATGAAGTTGTTGCTGCTGCTGCTGGTAGTGCTGCTGCTTTTTCTTGCAGCAAATTGAAAAAATAAATTTATGTGGTCTCTTAGCATTTGAGAAACGTGAGTCACACCACAGACACACACACACGCACACTCTCCACGTGGGGAGTGGCAGGGAGAGATATTTGTAGTGCTGCTCAAGTTAGTGGATGGGTGGTGCTTCGGTCGGTCGTTCTCCCAGCGGAAGCTGGCGTTTTAATAGCGGACGTCTAGGAGGCGAGCTAACCCCTAACCTTTGGCTGCGTCGACCATAACCTGTGTTATTGTTGCCAACTTTTCGTGTGTTATAATTTGTATTTAAATGCGGCTCCAATTGCTACGGTTATGGCTCACCCACACTTGGGGAGTATGTGCGAGGCTGGTGCGGCCATGGCCATCCCTTGGGTAGGTTCTTACTTGTTGTTGCTGATTGCTGCTGGGTAGTTGCTTGCTGCTCATGTTGCTGCTGCTGTGGTGTTGTTGGTGGTGGTGGTGGGGTAGCATGCAAAGTAAACGAGCAAGCTTAACAATAACAATTTGCAAAATTTTATAAATAGTTAATGGGGTTCGTTTTTATTTTTCGGGGAACACGGGGCCGGGAATAAGGAATGTGGTCGGGTCATGCATTTGAGGGATTTTTGGGCCCGGGAAACCTTTTTGCGGATTGAATGGCTTATTCTAATATTTATGGGCTAAAGAGTGTGCAGTTAGTGAAGCAACTAATGACAATGGGCGGGGTGGGGGCTCAATCTAGGGTTAGATTACTGTACACGGCACACAGACATAGACATAGAAGAAACTTGGTTCATTTGGTTCACCCAGAATAATACATACGTCTCTAAAGAGATGATTTTGGTGGTGCTGATTTGGATGATGAAGTTGGTGGTGCTGTAGTGAGTTAACAACAACGCTAGTGGTGGTGCTGTTGGTTGAGGTGCTTTCTGTGGTGCAGGGTGCTGCCGCTGCCGCTGCCAGCTGGAGTTGCTGCTGCTGATGCTGGTGCTGGTGCTGCAGTTGCAGGTGCTGCTGCAGCTGCTGCATCTGGAGTTGCTGCTGTGCAGTCGCCGGTGGTGGGGCAGACACCAGCAGATGCTCCACAGCACCGCTGCTGTTCATGATATACAGGGGTGGGGCTGGCGGTGCCGGTGGTGGCGGTGCTGTTGCCGGTAGCGGTGGCGGCTTGGTGTTCATCATGGCCACCTCGGTGATCATTTTGCTGCGCGCAAACTCGATGCGAATGGATCCGCGATCCGAGCTGAGGAGATATTTACCCTGCAGCTGCTGCATGGCCTGGGACGCGCTCGGTGGGTCCTTGAACTCGATGAATGCCACCGGATGTTGCTGGAGGGCAGCGGTGGCGTTGCTGCCGGCGCCGCCATTACTGGTGGAGCAGCTTGAGCCAGTTGCTGCTGCCATGGCTGGTGGCGGAGACGGGTCGAGGGCGAATGTTGAGGAGTAGGAAGTTGAAGTTGGTTTTGTTGAGGTCAGAGTTGAAGACAAAGTCAGAGGCATAGAAGTTGTGATTGGGTGCGTACCTTTTGTGTGCATTCGTAGGCGACAAAAGCCAGGCATACTGTGCATATTATATATCATAGTTGGGTATATATATAATTTTTGAGATATATATGTCGATTATCATGTATCATACAAGAGAGTGATCGGGTGGGAGATGGTGGGCAACAAACGAACCAAGGAAGAGAACGCAAAAGTTTTCGGTTAGTATTCGGTTAAGAAAGATCACGAGGTGCCGTCAATAGTGGTGTTATGCTGCTTATGTGTGGTTAGTGGAGGTGGTTCGGTGGCTTTACTGTGGTGATCTGTGATCTGTGATCTTGTGATCTCAGTGCGGTTTTCTTTGTGTCAACAAAAGTGGCCTGGTCAAGGTCTGTTAAGAGGCACTTGTCCTGCAAAATTTACCTAGAGAACACCTCCTTCAGCTCGTGCTCCGACACAAACTGTCCCAGATTGGCTACGAACAGCGTGGAGCAGGGCGCATTGGCCGCGATCTGCGGGTTCCCCGGGTGGCTGGCGTTGTTCGTGGACCCGGCGGGACTGGCCAGCGCCGGACTAGACAGAAAGTGGTGGTGCTGAGCAGCAGCGGCTGCAGCGGCAGCGGCGGCAGCCACATTGTTGGCGGCCGTTGTAGCAGCGCTCTGTGGTGTGGCAGCGGCGCTAGCCGCCTCCCCGCCCCCGCCGGCAGCCGCAGCCGCCGCGGCCGCAGCCATGTGAGCCATCGCAGCTCCGGGATGAATAGCAGTAGCAGTTGTCTGATGATGTGGCGGCATGGTCATTTGAGTCTGAAAACGGCAACGAGTCAATTATTTACTTCTCTTTAAAGTTGTATTCATTTTTTGATTATTTTACATATTAAAGAGGTTGAACTTACTTGATGCATAGGCTGCTCCATTACTTTGTCTGTATTTAGTCAGAGATAGGAGCGCACTGGCACCTGCGGATGCAGGGCCGGATGCACTAGCGTGGCGTGCTGCAGTGCAGCGGCTCCGGGCAGCTCAGCAGCGGCGGCTGCCGAGTAGGCTAGCGGATGATGCCATAGCTCGGGTCCGCCCGGAAAGAAGGGCCCACCCAGATCTGCGAGTCGAGAAGAAGATACATGGGGTAAGTCAGATGGGAGATCGCCTACGTTGGAGTATTACGGGATATTTAAACACAGGTTTTAGTTGACAAAAATCAAAATGGTAAGAACGAGAACGGGTTTCAAAACAAGAAAATAATTTTAATTGAATTTTAAAATGTTGAAAGTTCGTTGTCTCAGTCTTTCATTTAAGTGGCGATTGAAGATGGGAACCATTAGGTTGAATATGCTTGACTGACGTTTTCAACATAAGTTTTAAGTTTTTGCTATATATTGTTCCTTCAGTTGGCCTCGAATATATATTTTGCTTAGCTCTTTGGCTTATTTTCTTCTCTTATTTTTGTCAAGTGTAATGTTCTGGTGTGTGGCTGAGCGTGTGTGTGAGTTGCACAAAGTGTTACGAGTGATCAAAGTGCGGTACATTATACTTAGTTGTTGTAGTTATTGTGGCTGTAACCTAGTTGGGAATATATATATATATATAGCGACTTCGAGTATGCAGAGATAACAATTTAATACGGTAGATATAGCATACGAAAGAATTTACGATATTTATTTTGCTGATATGTATAAAGTTGTGTGCACTTGAAGCAAGTTTTGGCTTGGTCTTTGTTTAATATTTAACATTTTAAACTGCTCAATTGTTGGATAGTTTGGTGTTTCAGTGTGTGGGTGTTCGGTGTGTGTGTGTGTGTTAGAGTGTGTGTGTTCTTCGATAGTTGGAGGTGCTCAGCATACGTTATCGAGTACGCCTTCGGTTCGGTTTTGTTGTACCCTTAAACATAGTTATTTGGTTTCTTATAAATATCAACTACATACACAAAAGGAAACGAAACAAAATTAAAGAAATTAGCAGCTGCCGAGATCTCATTTTGGTTTTGTTCTTTTTCTTTTGATTTTCTTTTCATTTTTACTTACGTCCAGTGAGTGGGTGCATCAATGCAGGATGTGAGGCTGTTGTCGCTGTATTGGGCTGTGGTTTGGGTTTGCTCACTTTCGTGTTACTCTTGGCGAATTCCAAGCGAATTGTTTGGGGCATATCGGGGTCGAAGCGTACACCCTGCTGTAAATGATCAGATCAAAATACAGCGGTTTGTATATTCTCTTTTTTAGGTAATTTTTTTTTCTTTTTCTTTCAGCAAAGTTCAAAAGTTTTGGGAGAGACTTTACATGTTGTTTTATTTTGCAACAATTCGCCAAAAATAATTTTGAATGTCGCGTAAAAGTGACGTTAAAAAAAAATGGTGGTAGATTTTTTTTTTTGAGAATAGATCTAATAACATATTGCTTGAGGGTGGGGCGGGAGACATTCAACGTAGATTTTGTCTTGCAAGGTGCCTGCTCTGTAGACGGAGTTTTTATGGGACGGGTTAGTGGCGGAAGTTGGTCTTGGCGATGTGTATTGTTTTTACTGGATTTTAAAACGAAGGCAAAAAATTTGGCATATTGGATTTCTCTATTAATGAACTCGATGTAAAATAAATCTAGATATAATTTAAATTAATTCACAAATTCTTAACCTAATTTAAAATGTAACTTTTGGTTACAGACTTCCTAACTTGTATTCCTATCGCTCAAAACAAAAAATAATTGTTTCTCTGTTGATTAATTTCAAAAATTCGTAGGATCTACTTTTATTTATCAAAATTAGTGGAAGTCTATTTCATTTATTTTATTAATCATGAAAATCTGAAGGTATCATTGGCGAAATTCCTACGAATTAACTGTGCTCTTCCAGAGGGCGGGGTGGTTTTCTGGGGGCGTGGCTGGGGGGACATGCACCACAGGCTTGAGATTGAGACGTGGCTTTCATTTTGTTGCTAGTCTGGTTGTTGGTGCTTTTTGCTTTGCCATTTTGCCGAGTTTTTGCCAGAGATGAAAGTGTGTGTGGGGGGGTGGGTGTGGGTGTGATGAGTGTATCGGTTTACGTGTGTGTGTTTGTTCTCTGCGTGTCAAAGAGTTTGGTGGAATGAGCAAATAATAGGGGGAAGATATGCAAATACCATAAACAATAAGATGGGTAACTCACTGAGAAGTTAGAGAGAGAGACAGAGAGAGAGAGAGGAAAGAGATACACAGAGAGAGAGAGATAGTTGGAGAGCGGGATAGCGAGAGCTAGACGGAAAGGGAAACACTTAATGCGATTGAGTGACATGTCAAAGTTGATTTCTTTTCAAATGCAAGCACGTGTTCGTGTGAATCTTTTATGTTTTTGGTTATAGTTTTTGCTATTTTTGTATTTCTTGGTTTATTTGGTTTTTGATTTTTTGTGGGGTGATGCAAGAGGAGCTTGAGACTCGATTTTTGAGCAGCGGCGACGGGGACCTAATGGTATTTAAGCCAGGCAATACGAGTATACAAGTATTTTAATTGTTGTTTCAGTACTTTTCATTTTGGGGTGCTTTACAGTTTGTTGTTGTTAAGAGTGTGTTTGATTTTTGCTGTCGCTGAGTATAGTCATTATCGGACCTTTCTTGTGTTTTCCGACACAAAAAAATGGCAAAGATATCATGGTGTTCCTTTGATTACACAAGGCATATGGCATATAAGGGATTAAACTTTGAGTTAATAATTACCTGGAGGTCCTGTTTGGCGGCCTCAGCTCCGGCTCTTGTATGGAATGTCACGAAGCCAACGGGCTGTGGAAAATATAAGAAATAAATAATTTCAAAAATGTTTAAATAATTTCAAAAATGTTTAAATAATTTCAAGAATGTTAAACTATTGCAAATTAATTATATTTCAATAAATGATGTATTAGGTTTAGAAAGTTTAGACTTACCGATGCCGTTTTGCCATTTTTGCTAGTTACTTTCAAAAGAGATCCTTCATAGCCCTGTTGTCAGAGAAACAATTTTGTGTTAATTTATATATTTAATCTAGATAGTTGTGAAACGCACCTCGTAGGCTCTGAATAACAAATAAAGCTCACGCGGCTTGGCGTCCATGGGCAAGCCGCTGACGAACAGTGTGCGGACCTGAAAATATGCGAAAATAGATAGAGAATGGTTAGATGATTGCTAGATGACAAAAACCAATTTCCTATGATTACGTAATTAAGTTGGAACTGTCACGTTGTGTGCCAGCCCCAATTTTCAACTTCGAATGCGTGTAATGCGCTTTTGTTCTATGTTGGCCTCCTCGCAGCCCTCTCCACCCCATCTTCTCGGTTCACGACCCTTGCCACCCCACCCCACGCACACATAGGGGCCTGGTGGGGGTCACATGTACATACTGATAATGAAACCAAATGGAATAAGCGCCATAAACGCTGAATTCATTATGACAACGCCAGAGACGTGACTCTTGTTGGGGGCCGGGACAGGGGCAGAGTGATTCCAAGGGCGGATAAAAGGGAGCGGCAGCAGGTGAGCCAGGTATGTGTGCTGCAGGGACTAAATGAGTCCCCAGCTCTGACAGCTTTTTATTTTTAACACCTAGGCGAAAATGTTTGAGTTGAGGTGGCAAGCGTTACTCTGAGCGATGTTGAATGTGTGCAACTGGGTTGGATTTTCACCTTTTTCGTTTATTTTCACTCCTTTTTTTTCGGGAGTACATTTTGTGCTGAGAGAGTAAATTTACTTTGTTGCGAGCGAAATGAAAATCATCATTAGCCCAAGGGTGAGATGTTTAAGGATGAATGCAGGAGCCAGGAAAGAGCTTTATGTTCTTTTACATCTCAACATAAGATTGAAAAGAATTTATTATGATAGAAATACGCACCACAATAATTTACTATATTTATTAAACCATTGATCTACTGCTCATTCATTTCAAGTATTTTACTTTCTTCAACTAAACCTATCATCAAAAGCACATATTTGCAGTCTGCTCTCATATAAACTATTAGCAGTTGAACTTATCTCCAGTGAAGTTTATCTTTTTCCCAGCTGCTTGTATTTTTGCTACCCTTTCAGCTGAGCGTACTTCCAACCCTCTTTGAGAGTGTTGTTTAAATTAAAACGTGTTCTATCATTGCCATCTACCTTCTTTTTTGCCGCTTCTGCTCTGCAATCTACTGCCAACTCTGGCCTTGTATGTTTTGAATTTGGCTGTAGAAAAATACAAGCGATACAAGTTCGCTACATGCCATGCATATTGAGTTCGAGTGGAGTTGGGGACCCTCTACCTCTGTACAGTTGAAGTGCACCAGGAACAGGATAAGAAACAACAAGAGCTAATCTTTTAGGGTTCTGTCCTGTCCTTGGCAGGCACCAGAAATGTTCGCAAATTAATTAGCTCAAAAATACCCCCAAACCGCGCTGAAAACAACGAAAACCGGTAAGAAAAGCCGAGGCGCTTGGCTGAGGAAAAGCCTTAGCATGGTCAGTTAAATAGCAATTTAAATTAATTTTTATGCAGTAAGCGGTTTCTGCCACACGGACCTAGCTAATTGAAGGCAATAATGAGTCTGCGGGTGGAAAAGGCAGCCAGCCAAGCAGCCTAATTAGGGGGAGCCAGCCGGGGGGGACGTTGGTGTTGGGGTTAAAAGGCTTTCCGGCTAATGGCAATTGAAATGCAATTATTAAATGCCCCAAAAAGTGCAAATTAACTCAAAGCTAGTGGGGAGGAGATGTTGAAGTTTTTATTCATTTTTTATTTGAGTCCAGTCCCTCCCATTGCCCTTTCCCTGGGGACCAACTCCCCCTATTGGTTTATCTCTGGATTTGGCTTGTGGGCATTGCGGATAGACATTTAGTATTTTGGCAACTTCAACTGCAATTGCAACTCCAACTGTGGCGGCCAACTCTCAACTTCAAATGCAAACTTTGGCTCACACATGCAAGCGACATTATATCGAGTCACTAAGCGAAAACGTTTCTTAATTTACTTGCACATTTTGATTTTTTTATATTTATACATTTTAATAAAAGAAAATGGAGTAGCTCAAGAGTAATTCAGTCATTTTTGTTACTTAGATGAAGATCTAAACCACAAGGAAAATATTTACATATTTGTTGTAACGAAATAGTATTTTTTCCAGTGTCATTCTGCTCTCAAGTTGGTTTCTGAAGCTGATTTCGATGCTGTGGGTGTTCCGTATTCCCGTATCTGTATCTGCATCTGCTGTTGTCGTTGTTGCTGGTGCTCTTTGCGGGTTTGTCTAACTCTCGTTGCCAAAATCCATTTAAATACAGTAGAATTGTTGTTGCTGTGGCTGCTGTTGTCTGTTGGTCAACCTTGCAACTTGGCTCTGATTTTGGCTTGCTAAACATGCACTCCCCCCGTTGTCTCGGCTTGTGTGTTTGTGTTTGCTATTTGCGGTTTGCTGTTTGTTGCCAAGAAGTTAAAGTTCCCCTGCCTCTGACTATTTCATTTGCCGCAACGCCTGTCGCTCCTCGCCCCCTCTGAACACAACCGCTTTGTCAGTTTATATTCCTTAGCCAAACTTTGTTTATAATTATGCTCGATTCCATTTGCTTCTCTTTCCGTCTGCCCGTCCGCAAATAAATGTTCAAACTTTGGTGATTTTGTTGGTTATGGTTGGTATGGTTGTACATTGCGCATACGCAGCGTTGCCCTCATGGAAATACTGCGGTGAGTGAAGTGTCAGCTGACCTTGTCTTATGTATAACATGGCTGGGCCAACATAAGCAGTGCGAATAACAACGTTTATAAATCACTCGGTAGTCGAGTGTTGACTAACAGTAATTACGCATGACAGCGATACGAACACAGGCATATATCCATATATATATATACGAGCAATGCAGCCAGTCACTTACGCCCATTCAACCCTAACGTGGGCGTGGCAATGGCATATAAAAGTAGCCTCCAACCAGCACTTGAACGTGTTACAGCCAGCGCTAAAACTATTTAGCCTTAGCAAATTAACATATTTCCATGCTGGGGCTGTGTAACAACTTTTAAGCTGATTTGTTGCTGATTTTTATCGATTGGCGGCACTTGCACAAAGCCAAGAGCATCGCTTCAATCGCGTTTATTTTCTATAAATAGTTGGCAATTAAACTGCAATTGATGTATGCAAAAACGAATAAACTAGCGAATGGCGAATTGCGAGAAAATTAGAGATTAAAACAACAGTTTTTTGATTGATGCTGATTTATTTGAAAAGTCAATTGATGGAAGCTGATTGGTTATTGCTATATATTTATGCAGGAATTATCATATAAAGCATATTATTTTATTGCCCGTTAGCGATTTTCTTTATTAGATTTGACTTTTTTACTTAAATGAATTCATCAATTATGCCACATATTCTGATTAAACTTTGTTTTATATTAACAAATATGTTTCCAATTATTTGCATTGTGAGGCTGCAATTATTTTAATTTATTAATGTTTGATGTTTGTTTTCTTTGATTATTTCGTCAGTATTTGCGCTTGTTTATTTTCAAAAAGTTGTTTGTATTTTTACTCTTGCATTAAAAGAATATCTATAATTTATTTCAGATTTTTTCAAGCAAATATTTCCACTACATTGACCCCATTTAGTGCAAGCTTGAGGAGGGGTCCGCGCAAGCTTTTGCTTACTTTATTTTTCGTATTTTCCTTTAGAATCGGGTCAGGCAAAAGTCTTTTTAATAGTCTGCAGTATAGTTTTCAATGCCTCAGATTTTTCCTATTCGCCTTATTCTGCTCTACCCTCGACTGTTGGCCAATTAAGTCGAGCATTTAGTCAACTGAAATGCCAGCGGCAAAAAGTTTATGTTACAATTTGTTATTGTTGTATTGTTGGTGCTGCTCTTGTTATTGTTGCCAGCTACTTGTGTTTGCTTAGCTTTTCTTTGCTTTCTCTTCTGCTGCGGGACAACAATAATAACAATAATAGTGGCAACAACAGCAGCATCCCAAGCAAATCTTCAAGTGCCACAGCAGCGACTGTAGAGCACTGAGAGAAATAATATTAATAATTTAATATTAATATTAAAGTTTGTTTTATTTTAGATATTATTTTCTAATTAGTGAAATAATTTGTAATTTTTAATAAATTTATTTAATACAAAACAAGCATTTTCTGCGTATAATCTTCAATTGTTGGTGCCAAAAGGAACGGAGCGATGAGAGAAAAGAACTGCAACTAAATGAGTAAACCGAATGAATGAATGCATGTGGCTTGACTCTTGTTGTGTTCATTGTAGCTGCCGTCTTTTGTTGCCATTGATGTTGCTCTGCAGTTGCTTTGGCGCATTTTGCATGCAAAATGTGAACTGAAGTCAGTGAAAGGATAAACAAGAATTGCAAATTGTTCTGTGTCTTTCTGTCCCTATTCCCCTCCCTGTCTATGCAGCAGTTCTTTTCTTTTCTTTGCCACTGCATTGCAATGTGGAAAACGTTTTGTTCCTTGGCTTTTTTTTCGCGCTGCCATTCGGGTTTGGCATTTAGCTCACGCGTCTGGCAAACATCGCGTATACGCGATGTGGACGGCCCGGCCCTCTTCCCGCTTCTCCTCCGCTCAATTAAGCCTGGTCGAGGTTTTAATCTCTTCACAATCTTACTATTTTTGTCGTTGTTCCTTCGACTGTTGTTTTAGCCTTGGTTTGTTGTTGTTTTGCCTTCGGCTTTGGCTCAGCTTCCAGCCATTGTTTAAGCTTGTTTTCTTGACTTCTCCTCTTCTCTCCTGAGTCCCCTCCCGGTTTGTTTGGTTTCTTTCTAGGAATTTCTTTTCTCTAACAAGACAATCGCGGGAGTGTTGCGGATAATTAGCGCCTGTCGCCATTTTGCATTTAATTAAAGTTTATTTGTGTTGGCCAAATCTTGGCATAAGCCCCGCTCAAAACTAATATTTTAATTGCCAGGGAAACAAGCGATCCACCAAGGGTAGTTAAAGTTTATGCACTGGGAAAAGGGAGAGATTCCCTTAATTTCATATGATCATTACGAAAGTTTATGTGATTCTTTGATATGTATGTAATTGAGTTAAGAAAGTTGCTTATATTTTATATCGAGTTTAAAGCCATTGTCCCTTGTGCACATCTCTGATGCCATTTAAGCTTATTTTACAAATTAGCCCGAA